TGCTGGCTGTCCTGGAGCAGCTGTTGGACTTCAGCCCGGTCGTTGTCCCCTTTCGGGACTGTTTTCTCCTAGCCTAAGGGCAAGCAGGTGGCCCTGAGTGCCCAGGTAGCTGGAGCTCCCTGGCCCGGCCCCCAGAGCTGCAGGAGCCCTGCCACACGAGTCAGGTGGGCATTGCAGGCCGGTCCTGGCATCCTGACAAGGCCCCCAGTCCTGCACGTCCCTTTGGGGCTGGCCCAACCACAGCAGAGGGTGGCTGCCGGGGGCTCGGGCACGGTTGTCTTGTTTTAATTTTTTTCATCCGTGTAGAGAGGAATAAACATCCAGGAAAAAAAATAATTTTGGAAATCTCAAAAGTCGTGGCCCATTATCCACAATTAATTATCTTGCAGAAGAGTTGGAGAAGCTTCTCCTGAGCAGACTGAATGTCCCCGTTCTGTCACCCTTAGTTTTAAAAGAATTTGAACAAAGGTGCCCCTGTGGTGCTAAGGTGAGTGTCTGATCAGTGTCCCAGGGCGGCCAACACAGAGGACCTTGGCCTTGGGCCTCCAGCACCAGAAACTTCCAGTGAAGGGGCTGAAAGTCCCTCTGAGGATCGCGTTCCTCCCTGCCACCCAGCTCCCGGTGGCTCCAGGCTCTGTGGTCCCGTGGCCTCTGCCTGTGTGTCTGTCCTGTCTTCTCTGCTTAGGCATGTAGGGCCCACCGCCCACCCAGGACAGCCTCATCCCAGGGGCCTGAGATTGGCCAGATGTCCAGATGCCTTGTCCTTATTAGGTCACATTCATGGGCTCCAGGGGTTCAACATGCGTCTTGGGGGGAAGTTACAGCCCTCACGCAGAAGGCAAGGGAAAGGTCCTGCTGAGGTCGCCTGGAGGGAGGGGCTCGGCTGGGGCTGCTGGGGCCACCGCTCAGGACGGTCGGACAGCAGAATGAGCCAGGTGGTCAGCCATCCCCTCCCACTGGTTCATCTCCTCACCAGCCTGACAGCTATCTGCAAGTGACAGTGGCCGCCGGGGTCCTGAGGGCTGGCCATCGGCCAGCCTGCACGGAGGCTGCCCCAGGGCCTGGACGCCAGGGCCCTTGCACCTTACATGGAGCCCGCTCTGCATCTGGGACTAAAAGCAGGATGTTGCAATTCCCCTGCAAAGTTTACAAGAGGCTCTTCTGTCACCCCAGGCCCTGTAAACAGGCAGGCCGGCTCGGGCTGTGCAGTTCCAGCAGCCCTGGCTCCACGGTCATCCTGGATGGCGCCAGAGTCACACAGAGAGGAGTGTGGCACTCCCCCAAGCTCCACCTCTCCCCCCTGCTCCTGGGGACATGAAGCCCCTGATTTCATTGAGATTGCGGCTGTGCTGGTGCTGGGAGCCCGAGTGTGTGCGTCTGTGTGCCCGTGTCCTCAGGGAAAGGACCGGGCACCGCTCACCACTCTGTAGAATGCTCCATCTTTGTGTGTGTGTGCGTGTGAGTGTGTGTGTGCATGTGTGTGCGTGTGTGTGAGTGTATGTACATGTGTGCGCGAGAGTGTGTGTGTATGAGTGTGTGTATGTGCATGTGTGCATGCATGTGAGTGTGTGTATATGTGTATGTGAGTATTTATGCATGTGCGTGCACATGTATGCATGTGTGTATGTGTGCACATGTGTGCATGAACGTGTGTTTATACATGTGTGTGCACACACATTTGTGTTTATGTGTGTGCATATGTGTTTATACGTGTGTGCGTACGCGTGTGTGTGCACATGCGTGCACACATGTGTTTATACGTGTGTGTGTGCGTGTGCACTGATTCCATCTTTCTCTCATTCTCCCACTCCCCGACCCCAGATCAGTCTTCCTGTTCTGAAGTGGCAGGCGAGACCAGACCTCGGTGGTGCTAGGTCAGCAGGGGCTCAGGGCCACCTGCTCCTGGACCTTCTGCAGTGAGCCAGCTGTGGGCGGGGGGTTGGGGAGCCCCCTTCGGTCCAGACGCCTCCCCCAGGGTGAATGGCAAATGTCAAAGGCAGCCCAGGGGAAATGGTTCCCACACCTAATCACATCCAGAGAGGTCGGGAATGGGCGGAGTACATGCCCAGGAACAAGGTCCCTTTGTGTGCCGGGGCAGCTGGGCCTCTGACCGCCTGGCTTGCCCCCTGGGGGACAGTTCTCCCACTTGTCACATCAGCGTCTGAGGCCTCCTGTCAGGCCGGGCCCTGTCCCCGGGCTGCAGGGGAGCCTGGGACACTGGCTGAAGTCAGGGCACTCAGTTCCCAGTGGGGCCTTTCCAGGCCACGATCTCCATAGACATGGTCGCTGTGGTGGGCGCGCAGAGTGACTCGAACAGTTACAAGTGGGTGATCAGAATGGCTGAGGCTGAGGCTCAGTGCCAGGGTTGGAGTTGGGAATGAAATGCAGGGGTGTGGGGTGTGGCAGTGAGGACAGAACAGGGCAGCCCCTCCCCCTCCCCACATGCCTCTGCCTCCTCTCCCCTGTTGCCCTGCCTGACCATGGGGCTGCCCTGGGACCAGCAGAACCCCCTCCCCTNCAACGTCCTCCACAACTAGACTGAAGAACAAAAGGACAGCAACTTGTCTGTTCCCCTTCCCCGATTCCCCAACGCTGTTCCCATCCCCACAACTCCCCAATAAAAATCTTTAAAAAAAACAAAAACAAAACCTGCTCCTGGTTTCAAGTCCAGTGTCTGCTCATTATCCCGATTTCTTATGAAAAGAACAGCAGTGGTGGGTGGTGTGGCTAGGTGCAGGTGTGTGTCCTCCTGGGGACAGAGCTGGGTCTCCCTGGACGGCTGTGAGGGGAAGAGGCACTGGCCCGTGAGTCTTGGGCGCCACCTGGTTGGGCTCACTGATTGTCTCCCCATTGGATGACTTATAAAGGCATTCTGTGGAACTGCTAGAATGCTTGTATAATTTGGGCCCAACCCAGGTGTTCCGGTTAGAGCCTCTAAAAATAAGCCGGATCACTGGCTCCCACGGCCGGCCTCTCCACACTGGTGACTCAGCCAGGACCAGGCCCTTCATCATATAAGGATGTGGAAGGCCGAGAGCCCAGAGCTCTGCTCCCCGCTGCCCTCTCAAGCCCCCCAAGACCACAGGCCAACCCATTTAAACCTCAGGGGAGCATCATGGGAGCAGAAGGGGGGTGGGCTGAGGGCAGCGGGGCCCCTGCAGCCCTCAGGTACAGTTGCAGGGTGGTGGCAGGGTGGACCTTGGGTCCGGATGGCACCATGCTACTGGACAGAGCCTTATAAGGACCTCCTGGGGCCTCCACACAGGCTCCCAGAATAGCCTCTGGCTTGGCCTCTGGCCGGGCCGGCGCCAGGGTCCTGAGGAGAGCGCCAGGGCCGCGAGGCCAGGGGCCGGCCAGACCCGCTCAGACCGGCCTCCTTCCTCGTGGCCGCTTGCTGGCGCAGACCTGGGCTATTGTCCTGGCCCCTGGACCTGTCACTGCCCGTTAGTCACTGCCCCCTGGGGCCACCCCAGGGCTGCTTAACCGTTTTATGTGCTGTGGGTCCCCTGGTTGTCTGGTGAAGACTGTATTCTTAGGCAGCTGTTTTGAAACGCGTAGAATGGATGAAACCTGTGGTGCTGACATACATCAATAAAGCGTTTCCCAGTGTGACTGAGTGCGTGTGCTCCCCGTGGGGACCGTGAACAGCAGCGTCAGAGTCGAGCCTACTGGCTGCCATTGTCTTGTCCCACCCAGTGTCACAAACCCTCAGATCCCACCGGGACCCCGGGCAGGACCATGCCTTCGGGGCTTTCAGGTTTGACACTTCACAGGCTTTGTCCCCAGTAAGATTCAAGCCCATTCCCTGTCTCTGTTTCCCCCGACACTCACACAGGTACAAGGTGGGGCCGGGACACAGCCCACGCTCACACACTTGCACGGGCACACTCCCACAGGCTCTCACACACACTTGCACGGGCACACACTCTCCCTGCCCTGACACAGCACCGCCCACTTTGTGCCCAGTGCCGTGCCCAGTGCCCCACCCAGTCTCTCTGCGCCTGTGGAACGACAGGCGTCTGGTGCCCTCTGACCTTGGCCTGACTCAGAAATGAGTCATCCAAAGTCTTTCCATCCAGGGGAGAGGTCCTGCCGTGCCTGGAATCTGAGGGATGTCCGGCCACCTCCCATCCAGATGGCCATTCGGGACAGGGTGGCAGTGACTCCACCTCCAGGCCAGAAGGCACCCCAAATCCTGGAGCCCAGCCCAGGAGAACTGCCAGGGTGCACCCAGACCTGAAAGGGTCCCAGGGCAAGTGTAGAGCCGAAAAGTGCAGGAGTGAGGCTGAGGAGCAGGGGTGAGGCTGAGGGGGGCAGGGGTGAGGCTGAGGGGCAGGGGTGAGGCTGAGGGGCAGGGGTGAGGCTGAGGGGACCTCTTGTAACCCTGGCCCTGCCTGCACACCTCTGGAAGCCTCAAGGCCAACCTCAGACTCAACCCAGAGCCTGGCCCGGCCCACCTCAGGCCTGGGCCCTGCTGCCCCCTTGTATGTTCCCCTTGGGTGGCGCTCTCCCTAAGAGGACAGACCCCATCCTCCCAGAGCCAAGGCCTCCCTCCCGCTGGTAGAGGTCAGCAGCTGGTGGCCCCTGGCGGTCCCGGTGAGTGAGGAGGCGTCCCCGTTCTGTACGTTCTGTGCGGAGCTCCCAGGTGCAGTGCTCTGCTCCAACGCCTTCTCTGTCCCTGAGGCCAGAAAAGCCTCTTTCATTTCCTCTGCTTTTCTTATGTGTCTAGCTGTCTGTCACTGCACTTCTTCTTAGTTATTTGTTCATAGACTTCTAGGGAAGTTCTAGGCTCACAGCAGAATTGAGCAGAAGGTGCAGAGAGTACCCCCCAAACACACCAGCTTCCCACTACCAACAGCCCCACCAGAGTGGCCTATTGGTTACGATCAACGAACCAACACTGACACATTATGATCACACAGTTTACGTTAGGTCACTCTTGGTGCTGTGCTTTCCGTGGGTTTGGACAGATGCACAGTGACGTGTGCCCACTGTCACAGTGTCATACAGAGCGTGTCACTGCCCTGAACGCCCTCTGTGCNGGCCCAGCCCGGAGGAGCCCCGGAACCAGGCTCGAAGGGGGCGGTCCTCGGGAAAGCCCAGCCTTGCTTGTCCGCGCGGAGCCTCGGTCTCCGTCCAGACGCCGGATGTGCGCGTCTCCGGCCCATGGAACGGGTCAGTGCTGGTCATCTCGGTACGAAACGGACCCGTGCTGGGTGCGGGGTGCAGGCGTGGAGAGGGCCGTTCCTGCGGGGCGCGGAGGCCCCAGCCCGGGATCACACGCAGCTTCGCGTGTGGTGACGGAGGTTGTGGCGAAACCTGTGCAGAGAAGGGAGGCTGAGGACCCCCCCCCGGGTCTCGGTGGGGGAGCAGCGGTTGTCACCGTGTGTCCAGGGACCCTGAGGCGTCACAGCGTTTTCGTAGTCAATCCAGGATGGCGTTTGCCTTTTTTACTCCTCCCACGGGCTCACTGTGTGGTTCTTCCGGAGGCCCCCTGACCCGGGATGCGACGCGCTGAATGCAGCAGTGGTGCAAGAATCCAGCGTCGCCAGGCCAAACGCAGATTTGCAGAAATTACAAACACTGCCGCGCCTCTCACTAATTATTTTTGTTTTGAAGAAAAATATACTTATTTTTCACTTAAAAGTATTAATAATAATAGGTTTATCATTGTTATTCTGAAGTGAAATAATGAATGCTTCTTTAAGTTCTTACATTAACTCACTAACTTTTAATAGGGGAATTGTTGATAGATTTAACCCACATAAACAACAGCTTTTTGGGGTCCTCAGTAATGGTTAAGAATGTAAAGTGGGCTGTAGACCCAAGCGCCTGAGAACCGCCGGAGGCTGAGCCTCAGGTTCCGCTCGCCGAGACGACCCCAGGCTTAGCTATGAGTCTGCTGGTTACTAAGCGGATGCTAAGATGCGTGCTGCTTCGCTGTGGGGTCTAAGACATCAGTCAGATTCCAGACTGGAAGCCTCTGCAAGCGCCCAGGGTGGCGGCCACTCGGGGCCCCGGGCACGTCCAGGTTTTCTGTGCAGAGGACTGGGCGCTGAAGCAGCGCTCTCCTGCTCCCCTGGCCAGGTACCTGCTGTACGACGTCAACCCCCCCGAGGGCTTCAACCTCCGCAGGGACGTCTACATCCGCATCGCCTCCCTCCTGAAGACGCTGCTGAAGGCTGAGGAGTGGGTGCTGGTGCTGCCCCCGTGGGGCCGCCTCTACCACTGGCAGAGCCCGGACATTCACCAGGTCCGGATCCCCTGGTCCGACTTTTTCGATCTTCCAAGTCTCAATAGAAACATCCCAGTCATTGAGTACGAGCAGTTCATTGCAGGTGAGGCTGTGTTCTGGTGTGACGTGTCTCCTGGCTGTGGTGGCCGCCTCTGTCTGCGGAGGGGCCCTGCCTCTGCTCCCACGCTGCCAGCCATCTGGGTCTGTCATTCTTCCAGGGAAATAGATCTGAAGTGTCAGCTCCCTGCCCCCCGCCTCTGACAGCCGTGGCAGCCTGGGGAATCGGGGACGTGCGGTTAGAGCTGCCGTGACACAGCCACTGCTGTGGCGGCCGGCTGTCCTAGCAAGACAGCTTCCTACACAGAAAAGGCCGTTTTTACCTGAAGGAAAACACGGCATGTGTGTGACACAGACCTTGTGCTGTCTCACCGCAGCGAGGACTTGAATGATGCGTTGTTGCATTTAGTCCAGCTTCATCTTTCTAATTCTTTTCAAAGAGAAGAGTTAAAGATTTTTTAGAGTAAAGGTATCTAGAGCTTACTGTTGCTTTAAGAGACATAAACTTAAAAAGTCAATGAAACTTCTTTTCCGCTTCCTGAGACGAGAGTCACAATCTCCAAGTGGCAGATACTCTGTATCCCTCATTGATGGGTCCCAGTCTCCAAGCAGCAGATATTCTGTAACATTGATTGAGTTCCTACTCTGCCGGCACCTGGGCAGCTTAGACCTGTGCTCCCACTGAGGACAGTGGCTTGAACATCTTTGCTTTTCGAGTTCTCTTGCTGCACCTTCGCCCCTGTCACTTTGAAATGTTTCGGTGTTAGAATCATCCCTGTGAATGCTGCAGGCCTGGAATCACATCTCATTCAGGCTTAAGGGCAAACCCTGAGACTGTACGAAGTGTTCTTGGAACTCTTCGTCGCCCGACTCGACGCGCGCGAGCAGCTGGGCGTCTCGGCTGACTTGCCTTCTGGGAAGCTGTCTGCCCTTGGTCTGAAGGCTGCTCATGGGTGCTCCCTGCACGTGGGCGTGGGGACAGGCCTGGGCCTTAGCCGCCTGAGATAGTGCTTAGTGACTGGAAACCGCGGGGGTGTGGGGACAGGAGAGAGGCGTCCTCCCTGCCTCTGTCCAGACCTCACCCCTGGAGTCAGAGCTGCCGGGGGCAGGGAGGACGGACCGCCCTGGGTGACAGCAAGTCAGCTTCGCTCCGCCTGCCTGACGAGCTGACCGCTCAGCTGTTTCCTCCCCTACGAAGGGGCAGAGATATGGTGCCCGTCCTAGGACACGTGCAGCAGGGCACCTTGCCAGCCTCTTAGTGTCCCGTCGCTTTCCCCTACGACGAGGAGCCCCTGGACGGCAGCAGGTTCCATTCATCCTCAATGCCGATGTCAGTGCCCACGCGAGAGTGAATATGGAAAAGACACCAGAATTTCACTTGTGGTGGCTCTGTTGTCACTGGGCTCGTTCATTCCGTTTTTGGACAAATCTTTGACCACCGCAAATGTGGCTGACACGTTGTAGGTGTGGGCAGGAGAGGTGGGTGAGAGGGACACAGGCCCTGCTCTCCTGGGGCTCTGATGGGCTGTGGGGAGCGAAAGTAAGACTATAAATAAGTAATCGAAACACAGTGTTCCAGACGACGGGTGCCACGGAGCAGAAGAAAAGTGCGAAGGGGTGCGGGGTGTTGGGGGGCGGATGACCATGGCCCGGGAAGGCGTCCCAGGGAGGTGAAGTGTGAACAGGGATGGTGGGGACAGTCCTGGGGCCCTGGGAGGGACAGCCCCAGGCGGGAGCACGCTGGTGCAGTGGAAGCCAGCCCAGGAGAAGGACAGCAGCGGGTGGGGCCCAGGGCCAGCCCAGGGCGGGGAGCCCCCGGCAGCAGCGGGCCTGGACAAGCTCCCCCAAGGCTGACCCACTCACATGCTTCAGGGACCCTGTGCCCTGATGTCACTTATTCTGTCCTATCTCCACTTTTGTAAGCTTTCTCCAGTCCTTTTCGGGAGGAAGTGGCGTTAAATAAAGTAACAGTTCTCTGTGTCCCTGGCAGCCTGATAGGCAGCACCCATGTGCTTTGGTTACTGTCACACTGTCGGTTCTCGGTCTCTTACAGAGTCCGGCGGGCCCTTCATCGACCAGGTTTATGTCCTGCAAGGTTACGCGGAAGGGTGGAAAGAGGGCAGCTGGGAGGAGAAGGTTGATGACCGGCCCTGCATCGACCCGCCGCTGTACTCCCAGGACAAGCATGAGTACTACAGGTGCGGCTGGGGGGGCGCCGCGCCCGCCCGTGGCGGGCCTGAGCTGTGCCGCCAGCCGCGGCTCGGTCCCGGGCAGCGTGTCCCTGCATCCTCCCAGCTAGCCGGGGCAGCGGCCTCGTCCCAGGTACGGGCCGTTGAAACACCTGAGACACGTTCACTTCTCCCCACCTTGTGACTGCATTTGTGAGGTCCTGGGGATGGCGGTCTCATCACCCCAACTGTAAGTTGCCATCAGAAGGCCTCCCTGTGGAAGGGCTGTCCCCTCGGCAGTTCTCACAACTCGAGTGACAGCGCTCTTTAGAAGAGCGCTGTTTCAGGGGCCGTCCCTGCCACGGCTCCGGCACTGAAGCGTAGTGTTGGCTCGGCGGGGTCCTTCCAGACGCCCCACTTCCCCGTCTCTGTACCGTCCGATTCCTCGGAAGAGCTTCAGTGGTCCCGTCAAATCAGATGAAGTTCATGGCTGCTTTAAAATCTCACAGGACTGTCACCACCTGTAATCACGGCCCCAGGTTTTCACTCAGAAACAGCTGCTTATCCAGGTCCAGGGGACGCGCATGCCCCTTGGTCCCACCTGCTGCCCGTGAGAAGCGAGCGGCACTAAGGGGCCTGTGGCTCTTCTCTTCCAGAGGATGGTTTTGGGGTTACGAAGAAACGCGGGGTCTGAACGTCTCCTGTCTGTCTGTCCAGGGCTCGGCTTCTGTCATCGCGCCTGTGCTGCTCAGGAACACGTCGGCTCGGTAGGTGCCTGCGCGGCCGGCCGGGCCGTGAGGGCGTGCGCCTGTGCGTGCTGCCCGCCGGCGTCGGAGCATCTGGCCAGGGCCTGTGTGACCTCGTCCCCTGCCCCAGTCACGCCACAGCCAGGCAGCCTCGCACTGGGCTGGAGGGGCCTGCGACTGTCCTGTGGGGGGGGTCGGGCAGGTTTGGACTAGCACAGCCCGCTGCCCTTTTGAGCTGCACAGTGTGGGTCACACTGCTGGTGACCGGGGAGTCGTATGACACCTGGTGCTTCAGGGTCCCCTTCTGAGGTGATGGTGACGAGCGGGGCCCAGCTGGGTGCAGTGGGTGTGAGGGGACCCTGGGGGGGATGAGGATGAAGGAGACGGGCTGAAAGAAAGGGGCACCCATCTCATTTGCTTCGTTCCTATCTGGGTGATGGCAAAGGGCGCCCATGGCCGTGGGGACGTGTGGCTGAGGCAGGTGAGGGTGAGGGCGAGGGCAGGAGTGGGGCGAGCAGGGCCGGGCAGGGAGCTTTGAAATGACCGACGGAAGCGGCCTGGCCGGAGCTGACTGTGAGGGCTCCATGGGGGAAGGGCACACACGTCCCATCCGGGTCACTTCTGAGATGAGGCCCTCCCGTGACCCCCCGAAGCCGACCTTGGAGCCGTCAGAGGCCAAAGCCTCTTCCAGAGATGCTGCTGTAGGCGGCTGCTCCCAACCCGTCCTCTGCAAGTGTGTCAGCCCCTGCAGGCCGCCTCTCCCTGGTGCCCCCGGTCCCTCTCGGAACGCAGCTGCCCTCCCTCGTCACTAGGTGGCGCCGAGGGGTCAGTGGGAAGGGACAAGTCGAATGGCTCGGTTTGTGAAATTCATGGGAGGGCGACCCGGGCTTGGCAGCTAGGCAGCCATGTTCTTGTAGTTTTGGTGTAGGTTGAGGTGCTGGGGGATGTGGGGACCCTGAAATAGGGAGCCCCTTCTGCTAGCTACCTTCAGGTTCCCTCAGGGCTGGGAGCAGGTGCACAGGCAGGACTCCTGTGACAGCTCATGCACCTTGAGCCGCGGGGAGCCCAGTGCCCAGGGCAGCCTTCCATGTGCCTCCCAGGCCTGCAGATGACAGGCAGGGCCACAGCACTGCCCCTGGCTTGCCGCCCCCTTGGCCCATTTTGTCCGTGTTAGGACCAAGGCAGCGTCCTCGCTAAACCCGTTTGGGCTTCAGAAGCAGATCTGTGTGAAGCGGAGGTCTGTGGGGTGTGGAAACGTGTCAGTCACTCCTCCTGAGTCTCATTTTATGGAGCTGAGCCAGAGGGAGGCTCATCTCCCGCGGCCCCGTTGGTTCAGGAGCAAGGCTCCTGCGAGGGAGACGGCGGCGCCCAGCGACCGGGGGGCCCACCCCCACCACACAGCAGACTCAGCTCCAGGAGGATAACGAGCTGGTGTGAGAGGCAAAACCTCGAAGCTTTTAAGAGAAAACAGCTTCGAGACTGCGGGTGGGAGAGTTCTCAGGCTGGATGTGAAAAGGAGGGGCCTGCAGAGTCAGTAACATCACGATTTTGGGTTTCTGTCCTCCAGAAGGCACCATTACTAAATAGAAAGGCAGCAGAGAGGGGACCCCAAACCCTCTCCGAGCCATGGTGTGGGGGGCCAGGTGCTGTCTCAGAGAGGCTGGCAGTAACTCGCCCCACGCACGCCACTGACCCGACAAGCTAGTGCCCCCAGAATTCATCCTGACGACGTCCTGGCCCAGGGCCCCCCGTCTGACGGTCTCTGCAGCATGTGGATAGCACTGTTCTTAAACTTTCTTTTCCTGTTGTTTAAACACAGGTCGGTGATGTTAGACAGAGCCGAGAACCTCCTCCATGACCACTACGGGGGAAAGGAGTACTGGGACGTGAGTGCTGCTGGTGGCCCCTCACTTCCCGGGTCTTCATTTGTTTAGTTTTTAAAGTGCGAGGCCGTCAAGAACTCGTGTTTTCAGCCTTGCTGACGGACCATAAGGGCTGTGCGGCCGTGGGCACAGCAGACGCTTCTGCCGCTTCCCCCCCTACGGCACGCAGGGTGTCTCGGGTCACCCCAGCCCCGCCCCTGCATCGGGCTGTCCTTGGGCGCTGCGGCCTCCAGTGGCTGGATTTAGGCCTCTTCCTGCTCGTGTCACCTCAGCTTTGAAAGAAAGACAGGTGGGGCCTTTCCTGCCCCTAGTCCTTCATGTTGGAGTCCACCTCTGCCGTGACGGGGAGCTGGCTCTGGGCGACTTGATGCCGTGTCATCAGAGGGAGTGGTTGCACTGCCCCAGAAAACGGCTTCTCCGCACGCCGACGTCCTGGCGTGGGTGGCGGCGGGCTCAGAAAAGAGGCACAGGCCTTGCTGACGAGACAAAAGCATGGGGCGTGTCCTGCGGCCGTGAGCTGGGGGCCTGGCCTCTACAGGACTCTGCGGGCAAGGGCGGGTGCGCAGCCTCTGGAGGGATTGGGGTGGGGCAGGGGACACGGGGGCGGGGGCACATGCCCTTTGCATCAGCCCAGCCCCACTCAGCTCCCAGATCCTAGTGTGTGGAGAGACACTGATGCTTAGAAGGTGCGTTGTTTGCTGCTGATGAAAAATAAACATTTTTAGGTAAATTCCACCTGGAATTTACTCACTGGGTTGCCCCAAGGCAGACGTTTCTGCTCCCACCTGTGGGGTTTGTGTGCCTGTCCCGCCCGGGGCTGCGTCCTCCGCCGGCCACCTCCCGGAGGCCCCACAAGCAGACCTGTTCCTGGGACCCTCTGCACCCTGGCGCCCCCGTCCCCTGGCAGCCCCGCGGCAGCACGGTTCCCACCTTGATTTTTGTCCTCACGGCTCCCGGGTGTGTTGACTGAGCCGCAGGTGCTGGTTCATGGGCTAATTGTTCAAAAACAGCAACACAGTATTTTGTGTTCAGGAAGCTACAGGCAGTTTTGTGATCTCTGCGCCTGATTCACGCTGAGGGGTGCAGCCTGCTGCTGCTTAACCGTGAAGTCACTGGCTTGTCCTCGTCCCGGGGGTGCCCGCACCGGCACTGTGAGGGGACCCTCGGGGGAGGGAATGGGGCCGCGGCTGTCAGCCGGGAGTGTGCTCTCCTTGCTGACGGCCTCCCCGACAGCTGAGTTGTCACCCTGCTGGGTGGCCTCAGTGACTGAGCTTGGGCCTGTGCATGGCTCCAACCTCCCGAGAGCCAGGTTGTCGTCCTGGGCATTTCCGTCAGATTCCCTGGCTGGACTGGGATGCGGCCGGTCCCCAGGGGCTGGTCGCAGGGCACGGGGGTGGCACCACCGGGTGGGCACTCAGCAGCCTGTCTCTCACCAGACTCGGAGGAGCATGGTGTTTGCCAAGCAGCTGCGGGCCGTGGGCGACGAGTTCAGAAGCAAATACCTTAATTCCACCGACGAGGCCGACAGGATCCCCTTCCAGGAGGACTGGACCAAGATGAAGGTAGAGTCCCCTTTCTGATCAGAGCAAATGGAAGTTACCTGTTCAGGTGCGTAATGAACCGTGAACCGCTGAAGTTACGGAAGGGGTCGCCTCCCTCACGCTGTCCGCGTTACCATAACCACCGTGGATGCAGCTCATGGGGACCCGTCTTGGTGCAGATGGAGGGGACTCGCTCCATTCAGGTTCCCTGTGTGAACTGGGAAATCACTCCAGGTACGGGCAGCGAGCGGGCGGCTGCTCTTAGAGGAAAGCCCGTAACAGAAGCCAGAGCAGAGAGCGCGAGCAGCCACGTCGGTGCAGTTTGAACGCGAGCACTGGAGCAAGGGAGGCTCCAAGCCCGCCGCTGTCACTTGGGTCTAGCATCATCCTTTTAAAAAACTTTTCTGAAGGGAAGTGTTGGATTTTCCTGAAATTTAATTTCAACAAATGGTATACTGCTTTTTCAAATGGACGTCGTCTTTTAGCATTTTAAGTGTAATGTAGTTTTAAGGGTCTCCTTTTAGTGTGGTTTTGACCAGCAAACTGCTCCATAGAGTGGGCCACCCTCCCTGCTTGTTGTGTCACAAGTCCCTCAGGCTGTTTTCAGGTGGAATGACTGTGTTCCGGCCGAGAGATGAGGTGTTGGGACAGTCGTTACTGGGAAGACACAACAGTCAATAGCAGGTTTCTCTCTTTTGCACACTTGTGTTTTTTCCCAGTGTTTTCATCGATGTTTTTATTGCACTCAGATCAGAGGGTGTAGTAATTAACTGCTCCGCGGCCTTAGAAAGACATTGTGTCCCCTGAGCGTCCCGGACTCACGATGCTGGACGCTGCACGTGGAACGTGTGTCCCCTGTGTCCCCATCCCGCTGCTGTTTTGGGCCTGGACACTGACACAGCTCGAAGGTTCGTGTCAGCGTGTCTGGTCCTGCTTTGCCAGGTCCAGCTGGGCTCCTCGCTGGGGGGCCCGTACCTCGGTGTCCACTTGAGAAGGAAGGATTTCGTCTGGGGACACCGGGAGGACGTGCCCAGCCTGGGCGGAGCTGTGAAGAAGATCCGCAGCCTCATGGAGACCCACGGGCTGGACAAGGTGTTCGTGGCCACGGACGCCGTCAGGACGGGTAGGCCAGCCCTGCCGCGGTCAGAGCGGCTGCGGTCCGTTCCCGCCTGGGCAGGGCTCCGGGCAGACCCGGGCGTGGGGACCCCGCTCAGCGGGGCACGGGAGGGGTGCTGCATTTAGCGGAGGGGGCCTCCTCACCTTAGCCAGCTCCTGAGGAGGTGACTGTCGCAGAGCACGCGTCACCCGTTAGGCGGACGCCTGTCTGTCGGCTCCTGCAGCCCCCATTTCGACAGCATCTCCTTTTACTTGCAGAGTATGAGGAGCTCAAGAGGCTGTTACCCGAGATGGTGAGGTTTGAGCCCACGTGGGAAGAGCTGGAACTCTACAAAGACGGCGGTGTGGCCATCATCGATCAGTGGGTCTGCTCCCACGCCAGGTGCTCTGGGCGGCGCGCGCCTTTGGCTTTAGTGGGTCGACATGTGTGTGTGTGTCCTTGTACAGTGATTGTGTGCTGGGCAGTAGTGATGACCCCAGGGGATGCCCTCCCTGCGGGGTGAAGGGCGGGCTCAGCCCCACTGGGGGTGGGGGGTGTCAGCCGACAGACTCAGCCTGTGCCCCAGCCAGGCCCCCTGGGCCCCGGGTTCCGAGGAGGTTGTGAGCTGGGCTCAGCCGCCTGACTTAGGTAGACACAGGTCTGGCGGACGTCCTGGAGGGCAGATTCCAGCGCGTTTGTCGCAAGACCGCTATGCGGAGGGGGCTGGCGGCTGCAGGCCGTTACTTCCTGCCACCTGGGAAGTGCTCTGAGCCCAGTGGACCCTGGAGTCCGCCCCCGCGCAGGACCTGTCTGCCTCCTGAGACTCAGCCGGGTCTTCCCCCGCCCCGCCTTGGGGCTTCCCCGGTTTCCCATTTGTCCTGCCCACCTAGGCCACTCGGTGGTGGTGACAGCCACCGGGAGCCGGGGCCCAGAGGTGTGTTGGAGCGAGCGACTTGTGACCTCTGCTGTCGCTTTGCAGGTTCTTCATCGGCACCTCCGTGTCCACATTTTCTTTCCGGATTCACGAGGAGAGGGAGATCCTGGGCCTGGACCCCAGGACGACGTACAACCGGTTTTGTGGGGACCAGGAGACAGTGTGCGAGCAGCCCACGCACTGGAGGATCGCGTACTGAGCGGGCCCGTGGGCCCCACGCCGGCACCCGTTTTACATGCGGTTGACTTGATAACGTGTCACCATGGGGTCGCTCCTGCTCCCAGCCAGCGGCTGGGCAGCCAGACTGTCAACTTCTCGGGCGTCGGGCCCAGAGGCCACACGTGGGCACAGCCCACAGCCACCTCCGTGTCTCCGCCGGCCACCTGTGAAGAGGCTGCTACTTCCTGGGGACCCTGCTCACGTCTTCTGTCAGGATATGACACTGATGTGACACCGCGTGTCAGCCGCCAGCAGGGCCTGCGGCGTGTTCCCCCCATGCGTTGAGGGCAGGTGTGGCCCGTGAGTGGCTCCCATCCAGAGGCCACGCGGAGCTGGCCGTGCCTTTGGACTTGGTGTGATTGGAGTCTCTGGCTCAGCCATTGTGACTCCATGGTGGCCTCTGTCCTGGGACCTATGTGAGTCGGAGGGCAGGGGGACTGTGGTCTCGCAGAGCTGGGTCTGAGGCCTTCAGGGCCTGTGAAGCCATCCTCTGTCTGCTCCCGGGTCTGAGTGCCAGAAAATCCCACGGCAGGCCTTCAGTGATGTGTCCTGTTCACGTGGAAACCTCCGCAGCCGCGGGAAGCTGGCAGTCTGTCCTCACACCTGCGTCCGGCTGGCTTCCTCTGTGTGTGTGATCGTCGCTGAGTGCTTGTCTGAGGAGCTCCCGCCTGCTCCCTCGTGGCAGGGGTGTCCTCGGCCCTGCGTCTCCAGGAACTCTCTCCTAGGCCTTCAGCACTGCTGCCACCAAGCAGCCACCAGGGCCACCTGTCAGCTGTGCAGCGCAGCCACGGGGCCTCCGTCTCCTCTGATGGGAACCCTGACTTTTCAGGGACATGTGGTGTCTAGCTGCAGACGGTAGCACGGACACAGGAGCCCCTTGGCTGTGCCTGGTCGCCCGGCCGTGGGGCCGCGCCCCAAAGCCTGGGCCCTTCACATCGTCCCCCCAAGCTTGCAGACTCGACGTGAACACGCTGGTGTCCTGTGCTGTCCGTTGTGCAGAGTGAAGTGACGAGATATTTATTCTGTTCCATTTGTACGCTCAGATAGTATTAAAGTGAATTTTCTAGAAAGCAGGATCCTAGAAATGGTGCCTTCTTTTACCCTTGAGTTGTCTGTTGCCTGAGAGCCGTGCCCGGCGACGAGGGCAGTGAAGTGCATGGCGGGTGTGCAGACTTGCCTGGCGGGGACGTGCTGCGTGCCGTGGGCATGAGCTGCGGACGCAGCCCGCTCGTTCGGGAAAGTCTCGGTCGGGTCGGTGGGTCGGAGTAGCCGTGAGAACTGCCAGCCTCAGGCCCAGGAGGCAGCGTGGCCCCGGGCTGCTTCCTGCTGGAAAGGGCAGCCGTGAGAACACAGTTAGAGGGTGGGGACCCTGGGACCCCAGCACCAAGGGCTCAGGGTGAGGCCACATGCTGGGACCCAGCACGCCAGCCGACGGCGATGAGCTGCCCAGGGTCAAATCCCGGCCACTTCGCTGCTGTGAGGTGGCACTTCAGCGGCCCTGCCTGAGTCCCAGGGGGACCATCAGGGCGCGGGGGCACTGCTCCCGGGGTGAGGATGCCGTTGGTGGCGTTATCTGTGATGTGGTGCTGTTGTCCCGTTCTTGCATGGAGGACTGGGGGATTCTTCTCTTAGATGATACTCTCCACTCAAGCCCGGTGGCCCCCAGAGCTGTCTCAGCAGGTGACCTTGCCTGAGGCTGCAGTGAAGGAACCGTCCCTCTTAGTAGTGATGGTCAGCTGCCGGCTCATGTAGGTGGTCTGGCTGTAGGTCTTGCTGCTGAGAGGCGTTTGGGGTCCTCCGTGTAGAACAGGCAAGGACGATGACCGTAGGGGGTGGGCATACCTTACTGTCCCGACCTCGAGCCAGAGGGACCTCCAAGGGAGGTCGCGGCCGGCCCTCCAGGGCAGAGAGCCGCTGGGCGCACAAGCACTCGCCACGCTGCATGGACGCACCTGCCGAGCGAGGTCAGGTTCGGGGTCGCAGGCCGGGCTCAGCTCTGCTTGCTCGTGAGGGCCTTGCCTCCCGCCCCCCCTGCTGGGACTCGCTGCTGGGACCACAGCGCCCACCCTGGTGCTCGCTGGGCTTCAGGCCGGTGCGGAGCTGCAGCCCCAGACGGGTCCCTCAGCCCCATGCCGTCTGCCCCCCGTCAGGATCAACCCCTTCCTCCCTCCAACAAGGGAGACTCAGCTCCTGCTCCCAAATACCACATGGCGTGTGTGTGGGGGGTGTTTGTGTGTGCGTGGCTTGAAATGAGGCACATTTTTTCAGGAACTGGGCAGAAGGGAAAGCTGCCGACAGGCGGTTTCCAGGAACCCATCAAACCCACTTCCAGGGCCGGGGCACCAGGGAGCCATTGAGGTCCCGAGGGGCGATGGGGCGGGGAGGTCACTCGAGGCTGCTGATAGGCCTGGCGGTCCAGCTGGCATCGCCCCGTCCCCACAGAGCCACAGAGCAGCGATGCTGGAAGGGCTGGGGACATGTCCTCCGAAGCCAAGAGGACAGGCATGGCTCCTGTCCTGTCTACACTGGGGTCTGCCTGCACCACAGGCTCCGTCTCTTCCGAGGCCCCCACCCCAGTAAATCCGGTGCTCTTGTCACTGTGGCCAGAGCCCGGACCCCACGTCCCCATACTGCTGCATGCCGACCAGCATAACCTGGGACCCACGTCCTGAGCCAGGCGACCATCCCGTGTCCCTCCCCGAAAACAGTTAAGGTTCAAGGTCACTGGATTTGACCTGGAAATAACCTCCTCTTGGCTGGGGTGACACTGGAAGCCCTTCAGGCCTCACGACACAGAGCACAGTATCTCCCGTGCTGAAACCCAGGACGTTCTTGGTGCCCCCACCGCCCCCCACCAGACGGGCAGCCGTGAGCCCCCAGGAACCACTCGCTGCCATGTGGGCAGCCCGGTGCTCTCCGGCTTGTCAGCGTCCCCGGTCCGCGGCAGGGCAGTGGGAGCCACATCTGGACCCTGAGTGCTGGCCATGGAGCCCGAGGGTGACACCTGGAGGCCGGCCACCCAACAGGAGAAGGACGAGGAGCCCCAGGGAGGACAGGGCTGGCCCAGGGCCCCTCAGAAGTCAGCAGACAGTCTGTGGGCAGTAACCCGGTTTCTGTGTCCTGGGGGAGCCAGCAGACCTACAGTCACGCTGAGCGCCATCTGCTCCCCGCGGTCATCTCATCGCTCCTTGCGGCCACATTAGCTGACTAATGAAGGCTGATGCTGCAAGAAATGGCCTGTGACAAATTAAATCTCTCATTTCCACTCAAGGCCTTTTCAGGACAAACCAGGGTGGCTCCATTGTCCCTCACGGCTAGGCCCGGGCGGCTGAGTGCATCTGTGTGCACGGTGGACAGGCACGCGGACACTGCAGTGCCATTAACACCTGTCCCCCAAGCGAGCGAAACCAAAGCCCCGACACCCACACCCGAGTCTCAGGGAGAAGCGTGAGCCGCACTCGCCCAACAGCTGGCAGGGCAGGTGCCTCCGCCCAGCGAGCCCCAACCGGGTGCTGTGTCACTTCACCGGGCCCACTGGTGCCCAGCACTCGCTGGACCACGGTGGCTGGGGCACAAGAGCCCCTCCACTGCCTCCCAGACCCTCAGTCCTGGGGGCGGCGAGGACCAGCAAGCAAGCACATGAGTGATGCAGGGACAACGATGGGACGATAAGACGGAGAAGGACCCAGGGGCCTCTGGAGACAGCAGTTTCGGTTTGTAAACAAGTGATATTTTGCTGCCAGGACGAGTGGGGATGTCCAGTGAGCAGTGAGGAGACGCACAGCTGGCTGGGGGGGGACCCGACAGAAACCCCAAGAGAGAGGGTGGACCAAGCCTGTGTGACCGGTTGTGACACTGGGGGCTGGAAAGGGCAGAATATGGGGGAGCTGCCAAGGGAGCTGCTAAACCGAGGATGCCAATACATAGTCCTGGGGCGTCGCTCAGATACAGGTGGAGCTGGGGAGCATGTAAGGGGAACCCCAGAGGCCAGAGACCACGGAGAAGCGTGACTCCACGGGCGCCTCTGAGCCCTCAGGCCGGTTCACCAGCCAGACAGGGCGCAGGAGCCAGAGAGAAAACGAAGGGACACAGGCGAGAAGGCGCGGTCTCATCTCCACGTACGGCGTTCAGGGCAGACCGGCCTGCAGCGTCATGTCCAAGGAGCTCTTAACAGCGGGGAGTTTGCAGGCGTGACCCTCACATTCAGGAGCCCTGTTGGGAGCCGGCTGCACCTCAGTGTTTGACATGGCCAAGCGCACTGCTATTGTGACAAATTCTGAAGCTCTGACTGAGAAACAGATAAAACTGCTTTACATCTTGAAAAAATTTTAAATTCCCCTTTGGATGCCCCCAGTAGGACGAAGATCTGACACCCCTGCTTATATTGGTTGTTTAGTTTATCTTAACTAAACGAGTGAGTTTTAGACATATTATAATTCTGTTTTGCTGTTAGTTTCTTAGTAATAGACAAGTTATGCACCTTATAATTCTTAAGATCCTGTTTAGCCAGTAGTGTTTGAAACAGTTGCTAAGTAGTAAACATCCTTTAAGTGCCAAGGCAGGAACTCAGCTCTGGCCATTATCGGAAGAAATTGAAACATAGTTAGGATAAGTTAGTCATTAGTGAAGAACAGATCCGGCTGTAATAGAAACATCATGAGGAAATAATATTTGGAGAAAAACAAACTTCTAAGGAAAATAGACCCCGGGAAGGAAGGAACATTGAAACTATGTAGAAAGCAATTTCCTAATGGGTAAAGGTTTAAACTTGGAAAAACAACTCGGAAAAACAGCTCAATGATGTAAATAGTTAACTGCCCAGTATAAAAGGGACTTGCTGTAAAAATAAAGAGAGACACTTCTTGAAAGCGCTCCTGTGTCTCCGCGCGTGTTTTTCCTTTTTCCTCACCGACTCCGCCTTCACCTAAGGGAACCCCTGGACCTGCGAGAGCTGGTCTTCCGCAGAGCCCCAGGAGCCCCTGCAGCTTAAGCACAAGAGACCCTGACGGCGACAGTGAAACTGCAGAAGCACAAAGGCAGAGGAAGCCCCATGGGTCCCCAAGAGTCAGGGTGACTTTCCTGGTGACCCACAAGACCGTAGCTGGTGTCTCCATAGCCGTGGAGGCCGGGGGACGGGGAGTGATGGCTTCAAACCCGGGGACAGTAACTGTCAGCCTGGACGGACTTGTGTTACCAGCAAAACTCTCACTCAAAATTGGAACAATGTATAGACATTTTCCAGGCCAAAAAACAACCAAAAAATACAAAACAAAAAGACCCCACAAACGGACCTCACTGAAGGAGCTGATGAACATTTTAAAAACTCTCAAGGTGGAAAATAATCACACAGTTTAAGGTGCAGAAGGAGACAGAAGTGAGGATCATCAACAGAGCGAAGGTGAGCCTTCCGACTCCAACGCTGAGGACAGTGACAGTGCCCGCTTTGTGGGGCTGGCAGCCAAGATGGAACAAGCCACAGGCAGCAGTGGCCTGAGATGAAGTGTCTCCAGGACCACAGGACGTTGGAGAAGAAATGAGATTGAACAGCTTCGGACCGTAAGTTAAGCGGCAGATTAAAGGCTTAGGTTTCCCCGGGATGATAGCAGTAGAGTCTAACTCTCAACGTAGTTTGAAGGGGAGACAGTGCAATGAGAAAAAAGAGTGAATCAAACCAAAAGAAGGCAAGAAAGGAGAAGAAAACACGGGAAAAAGAAGGATCAGAAAACACAATAGAGAAAGGTGTCAGCAAACACCATTCTATCAGACCTCACTAAATGTCAGTAGACGAAACTTCTGGTTAAGATGATTAGATGCTGCTGGAGAGACTCAGTCAGGCCAGGGTGGGCGGGGCAGGCAGCTGTCCCGTCCTGTGTGGGACCCTCGCCTTGGTCTCCAGGCCCTCTGTGGATGGTGACATGAACCCAGCTGTCTTTCAGAAGAGGGGCCCTTCCAGGTCCCTGTGAGGAGGTGGAACCCCAGGTGCTGTGCACCGTCACACCTCGGGCTTTCATCAGCACAGTTTCTGTCGTCAGAAGTCCTTGTCACAATGTCCTCTCGCCTCTTCCAGTCCAGCCACGGCTT